GTGGTGGAGGGGGAAGAAGGGATCCAGGAGCTGGAGAAGGTGAAGGGCCACCAGGAGCTCCTGGTGGCAATGGAGGTCCTCCGGGGCCAGCAGCACAGATTGCCCTCTGGGAGAGAAAGAGGAGAGGGTCATACAGAGCCAGGGGACACCACCCAAAAAATGCCCCCATGCTGATTACTTTGGCCAAAATTTAACAAGTATAGGATGCACTCAAAGGCTTCAACACTCCTGACTTAGGTCTGCTGCAGCGAGGCAAAATCACCAGGGATGGACATCTCGGTGGCCCTCCCAACAAGCACCTTTCTCAGCCTCCGTGAAGCTCAGCCTCCAGAAATGGTGTTTGCAGGGGGTCTGGGACTGGGTTACAATGGGGAGGAGGTTCAGGGCCTCACCCTGCTCATCTCATGGAGTTGTGCAGTGAGATCTGCCACTTGCTGCTTGACCTGCTTGTGCTCGCTGGACTCCTTCTCCAGCTTCTCTTTCATCTTGTTCAGCGTCTGCATCATCTCTTCCTTCTCCTGGGCCTTGGCGTCACACTCCCGCTCCTTCTTCTCCAGCTTCTGCTGAAGCTCGGTGTGCTCTGAAACAGCCCCATGAGACCACTTTTGGGTGACAAACACTCCCTTTGGTCAAACGGCAGCATGCGGGGGACTAACCCTCACGCTGCTCTGCAGGGAAGCTGCGCCGTTAAGAAAAAGGAGTGCGTGCTGTGCCTTAATACCCCAGCCAGGACTCCCCCCTGAAAAAATGAGTATCTGCTTTGCCCACTTCCCTTGTAAGCCCCATAGCATGACATTATCTCAGCCACTCAATAAGGCCTGCAGAGTCCATCCAGATAAATACATGAATATGTTATCCACTTAGTTCACTATGCGTGCTAAGGTTAAAGTTAATGCTGTGTATCTCTCCATCACTCACCTTTTCGCATTTTTTCTGCTTGCTCTTTCCACTGTTTCACTTCATTTTCATTGACTAACCTAAAAGAAAATGACATGTAGCACGTGAGACAACCCTACCCTAGTAAACAAGGCGACCACCACTAGCAAGAAACAAGACTGAACAAGCCACAGCAGGGGGATCTAAGGCTCCCAAACTGGTATCTCTAACACCTCTGCTCCGCCTCCCCTGGCACGGTTTTGCAGCCTGGGATGCAGCACTGTGCCAACAGCTCCTGGGATGCCGGCTTCTCCAACCGAGGAGCAGAAACATCAACGGGTGACAGTAAGTGATGAATAAGGAACAGTGACAGCAGCAGTCGGGGGAAATAGCTCACTGAGGACACAGAGGCTGAGCTTAATTCACCTGCACATTGGGCTTAAGGAGTCAGAGTGATGCCAGCCTGGCTGGGATAACCCCAGCCCTGGCCCACTCGCCCCTGAGTAGGAGGCACCAAAGGGGCCCGTGTTGGTGCAGCCAGCCCCAGGACAGGCAGGAGAGCACTTACATGCGGACGACATTTTTAATATTGAAGTTTTCCAGGGGAGTGGCGTCAGGGTCCTGCCCTTTGTCACTCTGGATGACGATCTGCTGCACGATCCGGTCGAGCAGGAGCCAGTACTGGACAGTGTTGCCGCTTCTTTTATCTGGAAGAGAAGGAGGGGACAGAGTGAGAGAAGCACCAGGGAGGTCGCTGCCATCCCCCCGGGAGGAGATATGGGCTGCACAGCCCCCCGCAGCTGTGGGTTTCCTCGCCTCCCCCGGGACTCACAAGGCATTTGGAGACAGTGGTGCAGGATAGACATAAAGTGCGGATACGCCTCGGTGTGTGTCAGCCTCTTCCTTGTCAGCTCAAACATCTGAGTCGCACTTTTGGTGTCGATGTGGACCTGTGGATGGGAGTGAAGCAAAGTCAGGCCATTGGACCAGCAACAGCACCGTCTATTTCCCAAGACTCAGCTCCAAACCCCATGAGCCATGCCTACCCCACCCCTGATGGACAGACAAGCCCCACCGCCCTGCAAGGGACAAACAGCACCAGTTGGCAGCCAGGTGTAAGAGGGATAAAGCAGGCTGTAGGATGAAGGTTGGAAAAAAGCAGGGCAATGACAGACAGATTTCCAACCTCCAAATTTTATCCAAAAGACCGCACTTCATCCCAGGCCACGTAGGTGCTTTTAAAAGGAACCATGATATCGAGTGCCGGCATCTGCATGAACAATGTCCATACTCACCAGCTCAAACCTTTTGGCAAATTCCAGTTCATCTTCATTTCTAAGCATTTCGAAAAAATCTAAGTGCCTGAGGAAAGGAAGGGGGAAAAAAATAAGACTGGCAAAAGCAGATATGAGTGAAACAATAAATAAATTGCAGGCAGGCAGCCTGGCAGTGGCGCAGAGACAAGCGGGGCTTGAAACATCAACTGGATCTTCAGTCTTGAGCTCCCAGTCATTACAGCCTGTCCAAGGAACCTTTTGGGATAAAACAAGGAGGAGGAGGGCTGGCAGTATCCCCCAGTCCCCCAGTGGCACATCCTTTCCAGCTTAACCCTACATTAAGAGCCTGGTGAAATGGCACTGGGGTTTTTTCCCCTCACACTCTGGGGATAGCAAAGAATTTCCACAAGACGGGCCAGATCAACAATCTAGACCCACAGGCTTTTCCCAAAGGCCAAGTCCAAAAACTAGATAGCAAGGGTGAAAAGCAAGGGCAAAAATAACCTGCAAGGGCTGGGGGTCACTACTCACCGGTCGAGGGTTGAATTTTCATGCTCTCGTAGTTTATCAATGACTGGCTGGATCCCGAGCATGAGAAACTCGTATCTCAGGTGGAGTCTGAAATCCAGGCTTTCCTGCAAGGGACAGTTGTGGGGTCAACACTGCAAGGTGCACATCCTCAGAAACCTTACTGAAATAAAACAAACCCACCAAAACACCCCCCTCTCCAAGAGCCCCCGGTGCTCACCACGCCTGCGCCCTGGCTCAGGACTGCGTTGATGAAGGACATGATGGCTGTCTTGAGGCTCACTTCATCCCGATACCGCCCCGTGCTCTTGTCCAAGTCATTGATCAACGTCTGCCGAACACTCAATGTCAGTTAAACGCCCAGCGACAGCCCGAGAGCTGCACAACCAACCAGGGCACGCACGCAGGAACAACTCGTGGTGCTCCTACAGCCCCTGTACCTGCTGGTGGTGGATCATCAGCTGCTGCTGTAGTGCAGCCCACCCAGCACCCGTTTTGGCTAACATCAGTCCATCCAGATGTGCTGCCCCTTGCAGAGCTGCAATCCCAGAGACCCTGCACAAGCGTTTTTTGGGGGGATGGGGGTGCTGCCTGAAATAACTAGTTCCACACCCTTTGCTCAGTTGGACATCTTCATCAGACATGGTTCTGGGGTAAGTCCCAGAGTATCTAAGTTGCAAACGGCCATAATCAATCATTCACAAGCAGTATTTAGCCATCCAGGAGAAGGAAAGGACAAGAATGGGTGGATGAGGGGAGAGCGGTGGGTGTTGTCTACCTCGACTTCAGCAAGGCTTTTGGCACTGCCTCCCATAACATCCTTGCAGGTAAGCTTAGGAAGTGCACGTTAGATGAGCTGACAGTGAGGTGGACTGAGAACTGGCCGAATGGCAGAACTCAGAGGGTTGTGACTGGCGGTGCAGAGTGTAGCTGGAAGCCTGTGGCTGGCAGGGTTCCTCGGGGGTCAGTACCGGGTCCAGCCCTATTCAATATATTCATCAATGACCTGGAGAAAGGGACAGTGCACCCTCAGCAAGTTTGCTGGTTGCCCAGAACTGGGAGAAGCGACTGACACGCCAGAAGGCTGCGCTGCCGTTCAGCGAGACCTGGACAGGCTGGAGAGCTGGGCGGGGAGGAACCTAATGAGGTCCACAAGGACAGATGTAGAGTCCTGCACCCGGGAGGAATAAC